TCGGAGCCGGCTGGGGGCTGCCGGGGGCACCTCCTCATCTTCCGCCCTCCTCGTTGTTGTTTTACAGTCTCTCAGTGTCGAGGGCACTGTCTACTTCGGGAGCGTGGTTCAAGGTCACTGACAGGGGTTAAAAAAATAAAATGCAGAAGTCCTTTAAGGTATTAAACCTTTGAGTTTGGATACTAACCTGTTGCAGTGAAAGCTTGGTCATTGGGTGCCGTCTGGAGAAAGGAAGCAGTACACTAAGTAAGGGTGGACAAGCTGTGAATCATGCAGTGCCTCTCAGATCTGTGTGGAAGTGGCTTTGCCCGGCAGAGAAAAGGGGAAAGTCCTCATTGGGCCCATTGCCTCAGCTGTGTCTCTTCCCACGTTGCCCAGAGCCCCGGTTGCTGCCGTGCTGAGAAAGCCTGCGTTGAGGAGGGATGTGTGGCTGCAGGGATGCATCTTACTGCGGCCTTCCCTGGCTCTGCACGTCGGAAAGGCTGAGGCTCAGGGAAGCTTCTTGCTTAGGATTTAATTTATATGTAAGGGAAAACCCTGGTGCATTTAAAAAGGCAGGGATTTATGAAATTAGCACTGGGTTAGTGGGTACAGCGGGAAATGGGGACGGAGGAGGTGCCTCCTGGGGACTGTGCTGCTAGCTGGGTTTGTGTAGGAGTTGCCATAGCAGCTGCCAGCAGCTCCAAGTACCCAGGCAGACCGCAGGCTTAAAAACCTGCTTGAGAGCGAGCGAGTGCCTCAGCCGGCACCCTGTGCCCAGCGCTTTGCAGTGGGACCTGCAGCTGTCCTGTGAGAAGGAGCTTAACCCGTCCCTCCGTGTGTGAGTTCTCCCCTGCAGCGGTCTGATCAGAGACAAATGACAGCTATGCATTTAGAAATAAAGTTTTGTTAAGGGGTAATGGAGCTTTTACCATTTTGTAAACTGCTTAGATCGTCTCGACTTAAATTAGCAACCCAAAGTAGGGAATTTTTTTTTCTTTTCCTTGCTAGTCTATCATATTGGTGCTGTTATAGGGATAAAAATACTGAAAGCGTGGTTGAGTGTTACATTGTCCAGTCATTTTCTGTATTGTTCCTTTAGGCTGATTTTTGGGTGGTGGTGGAGATGGAGGAGACTGTGGAAGGTGAGACTGAGTTAGGGGGAAAAGTTGAGCCCAGTTCCTCTCCTGGTCACTCTGTACAACAGGAGTCAGAAGAACCAAGAGCAACGCTACTTTCTTCCAAGCCGGACATTGATCTCTCTCCACCTCTCATTGCTATAAAAAAAGGTAAGGGAGAAAATAATGACAAGTACTTCATTTTGGCTTTGTATGGGGAAAAAAATCCAGGAACAAAATGAGAAACCAATTATTAAGTAGAGTGCTTAAGTTTACAACAGGTACTTACATATACTGGGTGAGTATGTGCTGTTCTGAATGTGCCAGTGCAGAGACTGAAATGTGCAATTTTCAGCTTTATAAGTAAATGTATACATATAAATAAATGCATATATGAGTTTTATATATATATATGTATTTACGGAGTCATGCACAGTGCAACTCTGATCCCTTAGCAGATTTTCTAGTGTTGAATCATAGTAACATGATTAGAATAATTTTTTCTCTAATTAAAATTAGTAGTTCTTTATAGTGTGGTATACTCTATAGTATGGCATATAGTATGGTGTCTCTTTTCTGGAATATATTAACAGTGATAATAGATTGAATAATTAGTTCAAAGATTACTGAACATGGCCTCACAATGACATCAGCCAGCTCCCTCAGTGCTTGTGGGTGCATCCCATCAGGGCCCAGGGATTTATGTATGACAACTTTACTTCAGCACTGTCTAACCTGATTCTTTTCCACAAGGTCAGGGAATACTTAAGCAAAGTGGGCATATGTAAACCCATGGGCCCTGGTGGGATGAAACACAGGAGATTCCATCTGAACATCAGGAAACGCTTTTTCATTGTGAGGGTGCCTGAGCACTGGCACAGGTTGCTCAGAGAGGTTGTGGAGTCTCCAACCTTGGAGATATTCAAAAGCCACCTGGACATGGTCATGGGCAACCAGCTCTAGATGGCCTTGCTTGAGCAAGGGGAGTTGGACCAGTTGACCTCCAGAGGTCCCTTCCAGTCTGTCCCATTCTATGATTCTTTGAATAATACATTATAATCAGGGGAAAAGAAACACAATCTGTAAGAAAATTTATAAGAAAATCAGTGCTATTAGAATACTAATTTTAGCCACAATCTCATAATTTATTTAGATTTAAAAAAAAAAATATAATAAAACAGTAGTTCCTGAAAGTTTAGTGAGCTGCTCGTTAGCATTACTGCATGCTCCACTGAGGATCCTATTTGCTGCTGAGGATGAGACCTAAATATCATCTTCTGAGAAATAAAATGGTTGCTTTTTCTTGGACTAAAAGCAAGATGTAGCAATTACAAGTAGCGTTGTTCAGTGCTTTCAAATAATTATCTTTTTGAAGCTAACTAGAACAGTATTTCTGTTAAAGAGACATCAAACAATATTTAGGAATGCTTTGTAATTAGCGTTTTTAAAAGAGAAACGATGGTTGGCTGGAGATAGGTTATTGTACTTAGTATCAGGAAAACATAAATATTCTTGTTACTTAAATTACTTAAAAATATTCAAACCCTAATTTCTAGGAAAAACAAAGGCATGCAATAATTTTTTTATTAAATAACTTAAAAGGCTTCAAAAGCTCTTAAGGAGGCTTAAACAATCAACAGAAAATAGTTACATGTTCTAATGATATATGTCCTGATTTTATTGCAAATATTAGCAATCTTTATTCTTCAGATATTCGATGTTCTCAGGTTGTCTTTCAAGTCTCTGCAATTAGCAAATTTGTCATAGATGCAAGAGAGCGACAATCAGAATTCAAATAGCAGAAGAGGAATAACTGGGTGACAATAACACGTGTGAAAAGTAACAATATTTCAGAGTCTATTTATTCCAGAACTGATTTCTTCAAGCTAGAACCCTAGATTACTTTTTCTTCTCACTACTGCTATGGATAGGGATTGTTTGCAATTGAACTTGAGATAAAAGCCGTTATAAGACATCTTTACCCTTAACGGCTTCTAAGGATTTCTGCTGAGGCACAGGTTTTCTAATGTTCTTTTCATGTCTCATTTTCCCTAGCCTGAAAAGAGGTTAGCCAGCAGATATTAAGACACAAAATTGCAGGTCTTGTAAATGCATTTCTTGTGCATATACCTGCACAAATTAGAATTTGTCACTTTTTTAACTAGACACAGAAAGTAAGTATCGTAGATGCGGAGGGGACCTGAAGACAAGGAGCACTGAGCTAGGATCTCCTGTCACAGGATCACCTTTGACTGCTGTTCTTCCGGTAAGTGTTTTCATGCTAAAATAGGTGATGACTCAGCTACTCTGTTAAATTTTCCTCTGTACAGATTATTCTTGAAGTCTTCGTTGACAAAAGTTTAGCCTAAGACTTGAGGGTGCTGAGTTCCTTCAGTCTCTGTTAATTACAAGGAAAAAGAACAGTGAACCACTCAAAAATGTATACAGTGTTAGGCCATTTACTTTTGGTGCTCACAGTGTGTGTTGCTGGGATTTTGAGTTTTGGGATTTTTTTTTTTTACCATCCACTGGTTAATTCCCTTTCTTTGCCAAGATGAAAATTAATATTGGTTAAGAATCTTGAATAACTGAGAATTAATTCTGGCCTAACAAGTTAATTATTACTGATCTCTTCCCTCTGCTTTCCTTAGATGAAATTTTTTGTGTTACCATAACCAGTTTGAAGATCGACAATATAATATAAAATCCTCAAGTGAGGAAAAAGAATCTCTCTATAACAAACTTTTATTTTCTAGACAACTGGTAAGAAAAGTATAGTACTTTCCAGTGAAACTAGGAAAGAACTAGCCAAGCAAGCCAAAGTCACCAAAAAGGAGAGAAGAGCTCAGTTAGATGAAAGACACAAGTATTTGATATCAAGATTAGCAGATGGGATAGGCTTAAGTGAGCAGCAAGTGGAGGAAGCCATTATTTCTGATGACAAAGTAAGTATTAATTACATTATTGTTATTAAATATATTTCCAAAATTTCCAGTCTTTTGAAACTACTTCACAATTAACTACTTGTAATTTTGTTTTTAGTTTCAATTTATAGAACAATTCTTTGCCCCTAGTGGACTTAAAAAGTTGCTCTTCTTTTACCAAGATGTATTACAGGTATGTTTCTGTTACTGCTTCTGCAAAAGCAAAGTTGTGTTTTTTAAAAAAATTAAAAAAGACTGTTGCAAAATTCAGAAAAACTTAACAGAGATTTTTTTACTATACATGCCAATGTGGAAAGAACCTGGATCTCATTGTTTAGATACTGACATCTTGGCTTCCATGGGAACACGAGATGCCCTGTGGCATGGTTTGATACTCTTCTTGTTTTCACAAAAAAAAACCTTAAAAATGGCCAAGTAAAATAATGATCCAGACTTCAAAAAAGATAAAGATAATTGAAGCAAAGTGTTCACAGTATTCGGAGTTTTAAAAAACTGGATTAGTTAACATAAGTAGTATAGGAACAGGGAACTGTCTGTGTTAAGAACAGTTGTCTTTTGGTTTGAAACACACCAACTCTGCTATGGACAAAGCACTGACTCAAGAGGGTGAAAAATAGTGCAATTTCTTTCTAAAATAAGGTGGCTTCAAGTTCATGTCTTTCCTCTTCTGCAGAAATTTATCTCAAGCTTGGAAAACTATAACTAGAAATAAGGTCGTTGTGGTCCCAAAGATGTATTTCCCTCCCTTTCAGTTTTTAGAAGAAGAAACCTCTTCATAAAAAGCAAAATCATTTGTTCAGCTTCCACTGAGTGTGTGATTTCAGAAGGTGCCAAGTGACCTTGATACTGCCTAACATGACTGCTGTGAGCTTCTGGACCTGCAAAGTCCTTCCTCAGTCCTTCCAGGTTATGCCATTTAAGAGGCATGTTCGGGTGCACTGACTCACCATGTGGTGGTGTTTTAGGCTTGTTGGGGAGAAGAAACTGACTGATAATGCTTGATCGTCAGTTAAGTGCAAAAATGAATTACAGATTTGTTATAACCTATATAAGTTAAAAGAGCTTTTGAGTGTTACTGGAATTGCTTAGAGACTTGGCAAGCACAGAATCAGCTCAGCTGTCAAAACAGTTTTATCAGTTTTTCCTTTCACTGAGGCTGTGTGTGCACATTTCTGGGATGAACATGATGTTCTCTGACTTAAATCAAGATGAAACTAAAAATCTTGAAAGTGTTTTTCTTAACTGACAAGCTAGAAATAAATGCCCATCTTGAGTTAAGTGAAATGTTACATTTCTGCATTTGATTTTGTTTTCTTTTGGTCTTTTTAACCATTAAAATATGAGTTTATGAAAATTCTGTTGCAAAAGTAGCATAGCATAAAAAAAATGTTTCTGATGGAAAGTATGAATGCCATCTCTTGCGTCTTCTACCCCATTCTGATGAGTCGAGAGATCTCATTAAATCGACTGTTCTGTCAACAGTTTGATTTCAAACATATTAGACAATTGCAGATTACTCAGGGGCAATATCATTGCCCTGTTCTTAACCATTTTTGGCCATTCTTGGAGATAAAATATTGGCCTGGGCAGACCGCTGGCCTGACTTAGCAGTCATGTTACCAAGATTTGTCAAAGATTCTTTCTTCAGCACTGCTCATCTCTCTTTTTCAGCATCATGGGTTCATGATGTTCACTTGAGACTGTGCACAGGAGTTAGAAGATGTTGATTTGGAGTGGAAGTGAGAAGCCACCACTGCGTATCATACATCACATGTTTAGCCTAGCAAGAGCTAAACTAGCTATACTTTTTAAGAAGAGGCTTCTCCTTCTCAGACTTGAAAGAGAAATATACCTGCAAGCCTCTTCCATGCTATTTTCTGTTACATTCTTCCAAGTTTCAAGAGATTATTTTCCAAAGCGCATGACAGAAAATTAAAGGGAAGCAGATCTTGAGCAGGCTTAAACATTTATGTTGCTTCAAAGAGAAGAGGTTGTAGATACATCTCAGTGGAGAGGGACCAGTGGCAGCAAGGCTTCTCGGAGAGGAAACATTTTAGAGTGATGTATGGTTAAAGACATGGGCAGAAGACTAGATTTCTTTGCATTGTTGGCAGGATCTACCTCACAGAGTTCCTTGTGAGTCCCACTCACAATTACATTCTGACTTTGGAGACGGGGCACATGACTCTTTCTGTGAGACATCCAGTTTGTTTCCATGGAGGAAGTTGCTCTAGGAAACACTTCGGATTTAATTTCATTATATTTTCTGAGATTTTTTCCCACTTCTTTGATTTTTTTTTTTTTTCTGAAATAACAGAGTTATGAAATTGTTTACTAGGGATTTGAGATTCATGCAAATCTTATTCTCCAGATAAAGCCAACCTCATGATTTCTATCTGGGAATTACTAACTGATTCAGATGGAGCTTAGTTATAATTCACATATCCAAATAGGATAAGTACCTGTAGGATAATAGTTTTTATTTTACTAACCTCTTGTTTATGATTTAATTTCTAGCAAAAATTGAATGCACCATTGAGGTCAGATGGGTCAGCGAACAGTTTGCTTCAGAAGAAGTTATTTATTACCATGGGTTCTACTGAGGTATGGTTGAAGAATTCATTAGATGACATTTGAAAAGTAAAATACTGAAAAAACGTGACAGTTGTGCGGTGTTAAACAACTTTTTTTGTACTTCTTGGATAGATAGTCAAGTATTTAGTCCTTGTTCTTCTCATAATGTAAGATCGCCCAACATTTCTTGAGCTGAGGTTGGAATTCACCAGTAAAGAAGTAGTGATTAATGGATTTGACTATCTGAGGGGAGAGCAGGTCAAATAAACCCTTGTTAAAAAATCACAGATCCTAATGTTTTTGTTAATGACTGAATGTTTAAGTACTTTCCAGTGCTTGTGCACTTCTAGTTTAAAAGTGCAGTTCTTCGGGGGTTTTGTATTTTCTTTCATACAATAATACTGCACATTACTCCAAAAATACCTTTAATAATTCCTTTATTCCATTCAAATTCTTATAACAACCTCCTTACTGTAATGTATAAGCATTATTCAGCAGTGTATTTAGAGTAGTCATTAAGATTTCTGATTAATTTTCTTTCTTTCCGTCTCTTTTGGGGGGTATTGGGTGTGCTGTATACGATTTTCTTTGAGTAAGGCATAGGCATGTCTTTTTTTTTTTTTTCTTTTTCCCCAGTGAGCTTATATTAACATTGTTATGTCAGAAAAGACGTAGCTGAAGAATTCTTTCTTGCTTTTGGAGGAGAAGTGAGATTCATTCCTCTGACAATTGAACCAATTGGAATGGCTTTTCAGATTTGTTATAGTTGAATTATTACTAGATTTAATAGATTAAAAATAAGCATTGTTGCAGTAATTATTTGAAACTTTTACATGACTTCAGCCTATTAAAAAGGTGAAAATACATGTTATAAAGTATTCAGATCAGAAGTTTTTAGTAATCTTTATGTTTTTTTTATAAAAAATTAAATAAATGTCATTCTAAGATGATCCATTCTGGTCTAGATATCTATGAAAAGTACTTTAAATGTTTGAAAACCGAGGATATCTTTCATTTTCTTCAGTGAATTTATGTTGACAGATTCAGAAAGGGATTAGACAGTCTCATGGATAAGTCCATAAATGAATACTAAAATGACTGGGCAGGAATATGTCATCTAACAGCTCCCATACAGTGGTTGCTGGTGGTCAGGGAGCAGGAGAGGAATGGAGCCCAGGAGGTAGCCTAGCTTGCAAGCTCTCCCTGAACTGGATTTTTTTGGTAGACATGAGATACTGGACTGGTCTGCCCAGAAGAGCACTTTTGACATTCTTATATCAGATGGAGAAAAAACAGTGTTTGATTTGAGAGGGACAGATTTTCAAATATCCTACAAACACTTCACTACTTTTTTGAGTAAACTTTTTTTTTTTACAATTTTGTTTTCAGCCCATTTTTAAGTTGTTAAGTAAATTACTTTCACTGTACATTTGTATTCTTTTTAACTCTATGCATTTTGTCCTTTTTACAGAATTTTACAGGAACTTGTGCCTTTTTCCTAAGGACATCGGATAAAGTTATAACTGCATCAAATGTTTCCCAGGTCAGGCCAAAATCACACTGTGTTTGCAGTGTACTTAATATTTTCTTAGACCTTTATTCACACAACCGGAGTGAGAAAAGGAAGTTGGAAGTGCTTTCATGAAAATGTCTAGTTCTGTGCTTAACAGAAGTTCTTTTTCATCTAAACAAGTTATGATAAAGTAATGTTCTAATGATTTGCAAATTAGCTACTGAAATATTATTAAAACCAAGATTTTAATTAATAAAAAATAATTATGAATAATTCAGTAAAGCCATAAATTTTAATCACAATAGAGAATAAAGACCTAAACCAAGAGATTTCCTTCTAATTTAAGAGCCTAAATTGTGGAAACGCTGCACTTAAGTAACTGTATCTTTTAAACTTTTAAAATAAAGATCATACTTGAAGCTAACTAAAGGAAGATTTTCCTGCCCCTAATAACTTTAATTGTGTGTAGGAAAAGTACTGTAATAGCCTTTTCTGACTTTCAGAGATACTCATGTTCTTGGGAAATATTTGCAATAGTTTTTTACAAAGAGCATCCCATAATAGCATCTAAGAATAGATATTAAAGAAAAAATGTAATAATCCTGAAATCATGTTCTCAAAAATATTGATGCACTCATTTCTATACTGTACAGGTTTTCTTCTTATTCGTCATTAACAGGTTGCTGTGTTCCATTTGAGCAGGCCAAAGCTGTAATAAGTTTGTTCTCCAGCCACAGTCATGGAAATTAGTACTTCAGTTTCTGTCATTCACTTGCTTTATAATGATATTTTTACAAATACCTCATCCAAGGGTGCAAAAGTAATTTCTAGGCATCCTCCTCTTCCCACCCTGTCAGTCCTGCTGCGCAGCTCCAGTTGGGTACCTGTCAGAACGGTTGTCCAAATTCTTCAGCTGGTTGCCTTGGTGCCTTCTCTCTGTGGTTCTCTTGTGATCACCTTTTGGCAGGGGCTGTCCTGTAGCTGTCATCAAACTTCATTCTTTATGTGAGGTAATGTTTTTAGATGCTATAGAACGTAAAACAAGCCCTACTTTTCAGTCAGCCAGTCTTCGTGCTGATGAGACTTTGAGCTGAGGCTCAGACTGGTTTGGCAAATTTAGGTTTATCTTGAAGGGCTGTGTAGGATTAATTGGAAGGAGAACCTGAGAACGCCCTAGAAAGACATGGATTTGTCCCTGATTTCTCAAGAGAAATAGCTGAACCTTGAGCGTCCTGTGGAAAGAAATGGATCAGCTTGTATGTTGACCTTGTCCTAGAGATTCTCATGAACAGACAGAGGACTTCATTTTCCCTGCCTCTCCCTTCCTGCAGCAAATGCAAACACTCTCTCATGGGAGAAACTGACATTTTTATAAAGCTTCTGAAGGGGAAAAACAGAGGTCAATTCCTTTCTTCATTACACTTCTGACCTTCTGCTATTTTGCTAGCACACCCTTTTGCAGAAGGAAGTAGTTGAGGGAAGTTTCGTTATTGAAAACGTTGTGGGCATTGCCTCCCAGGGAGCCTGTTCAGGCATGCAAAGAAACTTGGTCGTCTTCCTCGTAAGCACTTCTTCGAGCATTGTTTAATTGGAACTGTGTTTCTCTATGACTTGACTTTCAGATCAAGACTCTGGACTTTCATGCTCAGACTTCAGGTGGAACAGATTAAGAATGATGCCCTGATTGTCATCCATAGCTCCTCCACTCTTTGAGAAAGGCCTTTCTACCTTCTTGTACTCTAGTGGGATTATAAAACTGTAATGCTGTTAGGAAATGGTATTCCACCCATGCATAACAACTAGTTGTCTTAAACAGTCTTCTTTTGCATGCAAGTGGGGAACTCGCAAGAAAAACATTAGTGATGTTAGTAGTCAAGATAGCCAAGAATGTCAAAGCCTCTACAAAAATGGATTTGTAGTTGCCATCCCTAAAACACTCTGGAATTGCTGTCTTTGCACAGGCATAAGTTGGGAGTAGAAGCTTCCAGGGCAGGACTCAGTACACTTTCTCCTGTATCAGTGAAGCATTCCTTATGACGTAGGCAAAATCAGTGTATGCTTGTGCAGTTCAGAAGTTCTGGATGAGACTCTCTGCTGACAAGAGAGACACCCCGAGCTGAAATGGCTGATCAGTATGGGTTGTAGAAAGCACAGGACCCATATTCAGAATTTATACATTTGTAGGCAAAATGCCAGTAACAGAAAAGCTAACCAGTCCATAAATGAATAGCATTGGGAAAAGATGCAATCCCTCACTTCTTCCAATTTATGCTTCGAGTTCTGCAGTAAAATTCCACTCACCAGTACTGTCTCCCCTTGTCCCCAGTTTCAGCAATTCACTGCTTCTTGCTTCGCAGTAACAATGAACTGGAGAGAACTGTGCAACTGAGAGAGGAATTTTTTGCCTAATATGTTTATTGTCCTTTCTTAGGCATTTATGATAGGTGGAAGCTGTTCCATTAAAATTGAAATTTAGACATATAATTGTCTTAAGATTAATTAATGCATTGATGTTAAATGGTTAATTTTAATTGGTTGTTGGAGTGTTTTTACAATATGGGAATGGTGTTTCTGGTGACTCAAAGTTAAGGGCGGGTCTTGGAATTTCCAGTTGAATTTTAGTCTGTGTCCAATCCAGATTCAGCCACTGGGGGGCAGTATCTTCATGGAACCTACGTAGCTACAGGCTGTATCTATGTCTGCCATGTGTCTGAATTTCACTCAAATATTATAACGTTGCAGAAATTTACATGTACCCCTCTAACTTTTGTTTCTTCCCACAGGAGGTAAATTTTGGAATATTTGATTGCACTAATGGCAATATCCTTCAGGGCCTGGAATTCTTCTTGTCCCAAATCATGATACCAGCACTTAAATCCCAACAGGTAATCTAATAGTTAGTCTTTTTTCTCAAGAACGTTTGGAATGAAGGCAAGGCTGCTATAGTCCCCTTTGTGCATCAGGTGAACATAAAACAGAGGATACAAAAAGATACAAGTCCCATATAGGCCTGTGTGAGAGTCATGCATTTTGTGTATGTGTTAGAAATTCATGTTGTTTGTTTTCAAGCCATAACACCAGCTGTAATGCTCATGACGAAGGAGAACATAGCATTGCAGCCGTACTAAGGCAAAACTGTGATGATTTAATTAAAACTAGATTAAGCCTGGGTTGAAAGAAGTGCCAAGTTCTTCTGGCAGCACAAAAGATCAGTCCATTATTTTATTCTAAGGCATGGAGAGCAAGCACTGTGTCACAGCCAGGATAGCCAGCTGCTTTAAGTTTTCCTTGTTCTGTGGCACTCACAAAGCATCACAGTCTACTCTGTTACCTCTCGAAGTACATGTTCAGAGGTAGGAAATACAATAAAGATCAGTGTCTGTCAAGGATGATGATGTCATACGCTCTTAACCATGTGCTACCACTTTTCTCTGACCCAGGAGCAGGAAGGGAGATTAGAATCTGTTCTCTCTGTTCAGAGAGCATCAAATCAGACTGAAAAAAGACAATAATTCAGTGTGAGGACAGTGAGAGCAGGGAGACATTTGTATTTCTTGACCCCCTCATGCTTGTTTGTCGTGCTTTCTTGTCTAACAGAATAATTAAATCAATGCACACTTTAAAGTAATTGTGCTATAGTACTGATGAGTGTATTTTAAAGTGCATGCTGATAAATCTTTATATATTGCCATGAATAAGAAATACCTTTCTGATGAAAAATAAAATACCTTTTGTGTTCAAAAAACAAAAGAAAGTGTGACTCTTGCTTTACTGGTTTTTTTGTTTGTTTTTTTCCCATAAATTGGAAAATAATCAGAACTGGGGAGCAGTGAAAGAAGGCTTGAAGAACAGCCAGATACAAGACTTTCTGTATTTGGTGGATAAATTTGTGGGTACTTTGTCATCATCAAGACAGAATATAGAAGATAAAATTCAGCTCACAAAAGTGGATATTGATATTTATGTCAACAACTTACAGAACCCATCTGACTACATAACTGCAGGTGAGTAATTCCTACAGCAAAGCAAACACAATGATGCTGTTTATAAAAGAAATGTTATGTCATTTATTTTTACAAATTTTTACAAATTTGCCTTGAAGAATTAATAAATCTTCCCTGAGCTATATACATTTTTCTGCTTACTCTTGCCAGGTGTAATCATAAAATTATCAATCATCTGCCCATCTTTTAATTCATAGATCTTAAAGGATTAAGTAGTTCCTTGACATATCATGTATGCAGTGGCCTGTGTTCCTCCTAGTTTGCTGGCCAGGTAGTTGCTGAGTGAAGCCATCTACTAGTGTGTATACACTTCACTTTTTTTCATACTGGGGAAATCCTATCCAATATTAAGTTTGTCTCTGAGGGCTGTGAGTCAAAACAAGATGTGTTTATAAAAATGCATATATATATACATCTATATGTAAGAAAAAGTGTAGTTATGTCTCTTTGAACAATAACTTTCCACCATTTCTTATCACTACATGAGTTTTTAGAGGGAAATAGTGCCAAACTAGTCAATACTTCTACAATCCCTCTCAGACCTACATGAGCCTATGGCAGGACAACTTCCACAGAAGGACTAGTGACTCTTAAGATGAGGTAATAACATTACATGGCTGGATAAGTTCTTTAGATCCATTCTGTAGTACAGGCTCCATAAGTCCTAAATATAATGCACCAAGTGAACTGGACTCTCTCAGCTGCTAGGGCAATCTAAAAGATGCGCTGACTTATAAATTATAGTGGGTTTTTTTTGTGACTGTTAAGAATGTCCATTACATGACACTTCTAATGTGGAATAGGCTGCAGTGGCAGAAAGAGAGAAACATGGAGAAGTAAGCCTTTACTTACCAAATACAAGCAGAAAAATATACACATAGTAGTTAACGCATTTCTTGGACCTTTGAAACATGATTCTCCCAAAACCACATCACTGTATGTTTTTCCTTATGAACTCACTGTATTTTTAACTGTTTCCACTGTAAAGGATGGAGTAGGTAGATAGAAGTCATGTGTGTATGCATCTTGTTGTTATTGTCTTAATCTTTTCATGTTGTTAGTCAGTGATTTGAATATACTCAGCTTACATAGAGTTTCAGCTTATGTTTGCCAAGGACATTTCACTTCTGTAATTAAAAATCTGTATTTACTTGTTGGTACTTACGAGACTGTTCCATTCTATGGTTCTGAAGGCAGTAACACAGATGTCACTGAAAAACTTGAAGAAGTGGTCATGATTTGGATTAAACAGATCAAACAAGTTTTAGTGGAGAGTGAACAAATGAGAAGAGAAGCTGATGACATTGGTCCATCTGCAGAGCTGGAACACTGGAAGACAAGAATGTCATCATTTAACAGGTTAAATACCTACATTATATCTCAGAGAGTCTAAAAAAAAAAGCTCTTTAAAAAGAAATGTAAACTTTCATTCCAAAGAGAGTATTAAATGTGTTTCTTTCTTCAAAGCCTTTTAGATGAGATCAAGAGTTCGAGAGTAAGGAAAATTATAAGTATTCTTCAGGCAGCAAGATCAAAGGCATTAAAGCAGTGGAAAGAGCTGGTAATTACTATGTTTTAATAAAATTTTAAAATGAGTAAAGTACTGTATTTATAATACACACAGAACTGAACACACAATGCTAAAAACAGTTTTGAGTGTTTATGCTGGTTTTGTGTTATGGTTTATTATCCATCTGTTGAAACATATAACACCAGTGATTCTGAAGTTAAATAGATAACTTGAAAATAAGTCAGTGCTTCTGTAATATGTCTTTCATTAACATAGTAGGCGGAATGATTGTCCAAAAGTAGAGCAATGCAGCAATACAACATTTTTCTGTCTCTTTCCAGCTGTACCACGTGCAGACCAACTGTAGAGATGTCTGAAAGTTCGTCATATTGCTTTTAGAATTATTGACAGCTGGCTTTTTGTAGCATAACTGCTGCTTCAGATAAGTGCTTATCTGTAATGTAAACTTATGAGTCAAAATTGTAGGCAAGCCAGAAAATAAGCTGTAGACCACGTACAGCCAATCAGACCCTGCCAAAACACCAGAATGTAGATCTTCTAGATCTTCTTAAGAGAAGGTGTTCTACTGTTTTGAAAACAGATCAGGAAAACAGTGTCACCTTACCGAGTTTTTTATTTTGTGCTCAACATATTTGCAGACTTTTATGATAAATGGAATTTGGATGAGAGTGTCTATACAGAGCCAACACAAGCCAAGGATAATGAACTAAATTCCTTTCTTTGTACAGAATTACCTCCTAATTACTGGATAGTTCCACTTGTCATGAACAGAAGAATCTATAGGCATTAATTGTAAACTCATTTGCCCTAACAAGTGTTTATACATGGGAAACTACTCTGCCCTGGTGAGGCCGCATCTGGAATATTGTGTCCAGTTCTGGGCCCCTCAGTTCAAGAAGGACAAGGAACTGCTTGAGAGACTCCAGCGCAGGGCCACAAAGATGATTAAGGGAGTGGAGCATCTCCCTTATGAGGAAAGGCTGAGGGAGCTGGGTCTCTTTAGCTTGGAGAAGAGGAGACTGAGGGGGGACCTCATTAATGTTTAATGTTTATAAATATGTAAAGAGTGACTGTCATGAGGATGGAGCCAGGCTCTTCTCAGTGGCATCCAATGATAGGACAAGGGGAAATGGATATAAGCTGGAACATAGGAGGGTGCGCTTAAACATGAGGAAGAACTTCTTCCCAGTAAGGGTAACAGAACACTGGAACAGGCTGCCCAGAGAGGTTGTGGAGTCTCCTTCTCTGGAGATGTTCAAAACCTGCCTGGACGCATTCTTGTGTGATCTGATCTAGGTGGTCCTGCTCCGGCAGGGGGATTGGACCTTTGAGGTCCCTTCCAATCCCTAACATTCTGTGATTCTGTGGAACACCCTGGTACATTTCAGGGATCTTGTCTAAGTTCTGTAGAATGGATACCATGCCAAAACTATTCTAAAACGTAAGTTGGATTATCAAAATCAGACTATTCAACTTCCATCAGGAAAGAAAAACTTTGGAGGTCTAGTAAGGAGTTCCTCTAAATCACATTCAAAATGTTGCTTATTTGAGAGAACTCTGTAAGAAAATGTTTGCAAGATGGAGTCATAGTCTTTTGTGGTAGCATGCACTTTAGAAGAGCAACAACCTGTTCAGTAAGTTTTAACACTACTAATTCTATTTCTTTTTCTTTCTCCCTTCAGGATGGTAGTATAACAATGGCTGCCAATGAAGCTAAAGACAACGTGAGATATTTATATACATTGGATAAATTTTTTGGTCCACTTGCCAAAGCCTCACCTGTAAGTAGCACTCTAAAGGCACTTAATGTGAAATTCAGAAAAGAAAGGAAAGGCTTTTGCTGCTGAAAGAAAGATATTTCTTCTTTCAGTATTTAACTCCTCTGCTTAATGATTACTGGACAGCTTAACTCCTTTGGTGTTAGTGATTTGAGTTTACAGATTTTGAATAAGCCAGAGATAATACTACTTTTTGAGTAGGAGACAGTTGTCATTCCAGAAGGTAACTAAAGGGCATGAGAAAAATAAGCAAAAGATACTGTTTTTCCAAACCTGATGTTGAGCTGAACTGTCTTTGTGAGGTTGGGCTTTACATATGGTACCTCTTCCTGGTTCCATGCTTCAGTTAGCAGTTACTCATAATTGTTTTAATTCAAGTATCATAAAATGATCTTAAGCCTTTAGTTGAGCTAAAATTGGGCAGCTTCCACTTATTTTACAGGTTAAAGCTGTTTTTCTTGCAGGTAGCATGTATTTACCTTCATCCTGGTTTAAATTATAATATTTATTTCCATAACCATGTGGATCTCAGATTTTATTTTTTTTAAGTGAAAGCATGAATTTTGAAGATATAGCCACCAAGCAAAACTGTCTAAACTTACATGGTTCAGAAGATTTACCCATAATCCATCTGTTTACAAATTTTCCAAATATTGTTTTCAAGGCCTGAACTCTGTTTGAATCCATTGTGCTATTTTATACTGCTTTTCTTCTGCAAATATTCACCATTCTGCCATATTGGACTTGACTTTTAGATACCATACTTTTTTTATCCTTTTCTAGACCAGTCACTGTCTCCTGTTCTGGGTTCTCAGTATATCTGGCTTGCATGCATTTCTGTGGAATCTTTTTGTGGGATAGAGAAGACTCTGTAGTTCAGTATCCTCAGTAAAAGAGAGATTATCGTTGTCTTGCCTCTGCCTTCTGAGTTTCTCTTCTGGATCTAGGCAAAACGAGTGAAGGCCAGCTTTCTTCTTGTCCTTCCTACAGCAGGCCAACTCTTTTGTAGCAGTGTAGGACTTCTTTTCCTCAGGTAACATATACCTCTGCAAAGCAGACTACAGCACCTTCATATACTGGAGGCCCTGGCCAAAAAGAGTACAGTCTCTTTTTCCTCTGGAAGAAGATGTATTCATTTAATCATTACCCATTCCCCACGTTTTTCTCTTGATCGTAGTCTGTTAGGTCCCCGCAAATGAATTGAATGATCCAGTTCTTAATGACATGTCTACAAGAACAATGTGTTACAATCAAAAAGATGTTTATCCGCTGACAAATGTATTCCCAGAGCTGTCACGTTTTTTGTTGTTTTAATTTTTAGGAAATTTGGATTGCTGACCTTCCCATTTTTTCCTGTTGTAGGTAACAATGATGGAACATGTACCCAGTTTAATGAATACTGTCTGTATGATCTACTGTACATCACCATACTACAACACATCAGAGCGCATGACATCTCTTCTTCTTAAAATCACTAATCAAATGATTAACACATGCAAGATGTATTTATGTGAAGGTGTTTCAAAAATCTGGGATCTGGACAGGTGATAGATTTTAATAATTTCATTTTCTTTTTTTAACACTAGAAATAAAACTATAGATTAGTCATTGAGATTATTAAAAGGTAAATTCAAGTAGCCCCTCATCCTCCTACCAGGCACTGATTCCCATGTTAATTTTAAGCTTGTGACTACTCATTTTGTGTAGAATTAAGTACTCTGCAAAAACAAACTTACTGCATGTTGTGAAAAAAAAGGTTATTGAAAAGCATGTAATGTATATCTGTATACCACAGTCAATTTTTTGTTTCCATGGCTTTTTTTAGACAAAAATTCACTTGACCAATTAGAAAAGAGAGCTAAGGTTCTTCATAAAGAAGCTCTGAGGACAGACTGCCGAAGTTCCATCTAAGATTTATATTTTGCTGTTAGTGGACAGGAAAGTCAGTTTGAGGAAGGGGACAATATATACCAAGACCAGAATCACAATTCAATTGTACTCTGTTTGGAGTGAGGTATGTGGGTGATAGGATGGGACTCAGACTTGTATTTTCTGAGTATTCCATGGAGAAGCCTGTATGAGCAAATACTTGAGGAGTCTTAATGGTGCCGATGAGGCACCTTAAATTTAAAAAGCTAGATTTACTGTAAATTTGCTAGTTAGACATGCCTAAGACTAGTTTTGTTCTTCTATTGTTCTTATTACAGCTATTAGTATAGCAAGAGTCCCTGGTTTTCAGCAAATGTTAGGCACTGTATAGAAAATGAACAAAAAGCTTGCCCCATCTATAAGGAGCTTGCAATCTAAAACATAGGAGTGAATGGTGAGATGAGAGGAGGAAAGAGGAATGGAGAAAAAAACGGCAATCATGCAGTGTTGGTCAACTGGAATGACAGTGTTTTCAGCAAACCTTGTGATGCCCTTGGATGTTCTGTAGGCATTACTGCCAGGAGGACTAAAGGAGACATTTAAAGGAAGGGACCAGTTCTCTGCTCTATGGCTAGTTGCAAAGAGCTGCTCCGAGGTGCTACCTACAGCATAAGTGGAAGCACAAAAGTGTTTATATGAAACTTAACAAGTGGGTGGTGAATGCTGATGTCACTGGCAGAACAAGTATATCCGAAGGATGAGAGTTTAAGTGGAGATAACCTAAGAAGAACACATAGTGTAACAACAAGTCAATTATTTTAACGCAAAAGAGAAGGGGCAAACCACAGAGAGGGAGTAAAACGGGCATGACATCTAAAGTTATCAACTAGAAAAGAAATGATTGGAACAGTCTCTTGAAAGAGTATAAGTGGAGCAAGATTATCGTTACTGAGGTGAGAAGGAATAGGTGTTACAAGCTTCATCAAGATATAGACAGGCAGAATGTCTGTGCTTAAATTCCAGCCAAGTCAAAGGTGACACTGAAGTAACAGGCTAGGAGACATAAAAGTAAATCTAACAAATAATTTGAATTTCTCCTGTATTTTGGTGTGAATTTACTTTTGAGACATTCTTATTCATTTATTTGCTGCTGCTGTCCCTGCAAAGTTCTCTCTGTCCCAGTTAGTGATTTCAATTTATAAAGTTTGACTATGATTTTAATTCCCAATGATCTTTTGGAAGACAAAAGGCAAAACTAAAGTGGAGCAACAGTCTTGGATAAATGGCTTATAAATAATTTCTATGCCTCATCTGTGTATCTCATGTGTGTATTTATATATACCTCAGGGTTAATGAACAACTGTGTATAAGATGTGACTATCAGTGGCCTTAGGAACCAAGAAATCCTTGGTGTGTCTTTGTAAAGAAATGAGACTTTTCTCATGCTTACTGTAGCCTGGAAAAATACCTCTCCAGTCTTGTCTGCTTAGAAAAAAACAAATGAAGGAAGAAAAACCCATTAGCAATACTCAGGTTACAGAAGATGAGAAATGGCCAAACTGCAGGCACTCAGTAGCCAGGGTTTACCTGATGTAAGTTCTTTCTGGACTATGCTGTGAAAGTTTGGGGCTGATGACAATAAAACCTAAACATAAAAATATCCAAGCTAGATAACAAATTTTAAAAAACCCCTTGTAATGTATCATGGAATCATAGAATGGTTAGGGTTGGAAGGGACCTCAAAGATCATCTAGTTCCAACCCCCCTGCCATGGGCAGGGAAACCCTCCACTACACCAGGTTGCCCAAAGCCTCATCCAGCCTGGCCTTGAACACCTCCAGGGATGGAGCATCTACAACCTCTCTGGGCAACCTGTTCCAGTGCCTCACCCCTCTCTGAGTGAAAAATTTCTTCCTTATATCCAATCTAAACCTCCCCTCTTTCAGTTTAAAGCCATTGCCCCTTGTCCTGTCACTACACGCCCTTGTATAAAATCCTTCTCCAGCTTTCCTGTAGGTCCCCTTTAAGTACTGGAAAGCTGCAATAAGATCACCCCGGAGCCTTCTCTTCTCCAGGCTGAACAGCCCCAACTCTCTCAGCCTGTCTTCATAGGAGAAGTGCTCCAGCCCTCGGATCATCTTCATGGCCCTCCTCTGGACTTGCTCCAGCAGCTCCATGTCCTTCTTATGTTGGGGACTCCAGAGCTGAACGCAGTATTCCAGGTGGGGTCTCAGAGAGGGGAGTAATGTGTAATGTATGTAATCCTCATATTTTAAATGTTTTTCAGATAATGTGTAATTTTGTGTTCTCATTTTGCAAAGTTGCATATCTGACTGAAATATTCTGGTTTTGTTTATACTCTTTTGAAGATCTCCTTAGGATGATTTTCTGTCTTGTGTGCTTTTTTCCTCAGGCAAGAATTGCTAAAGAGGATACAACAATGCATTTCCCTCAAAGAACAGTATCAAACATCCTTTCAGAAAATTAGGGAGACACTAAAGGAAAATCCAAGTGACAGGCAATTTGATTTCAGGTAAATAATTCACTCTAACATTGAATCATATTCATTTATACAATTTATAAACAAGATGTCGTTATATCTGCTGGCTAGCAGAAAAGCTAAATATTCAATTAAAATGTGGTATTTATTATAAGCAGAATACGACCTTGCAGAGGTGTGGGGTTTTTTTCAGGAATAAACTAGTGACAGGTTTTTGCCAGTCACTTGTTGATTTAGCAGATGTCCAAGGGGACTTCAGGGGAATTTATGCATGTGTTAATTTAATACATATGTTTATGTATGATCTGAAATCCCAACAAATTTGAGTGATGAATGTAAGTGAAGAGACTCCAGGGGAATTTAATCAGCTTTAGGCCAGGTCGTCTAGTACAATGCCAAGGAGAGTTTTACCTGTATTTGCACTTAAAACATGGAGCATTTCTTAGTATTGTACATTCACATTTTGATCTACTGCAAATGTCTTATTCAAAAGAGTAACTCCCGTAAAATATGGTGAAGGCTTTTAATTGACATATATAAGGATTAAGCATTTTTTGGTTGATATCCATTACTTTAAAATGGTTTTTACTTGATTTGTAGTTATTACAGCATTTTTTTTTTCTAATGTGAAACTTGGTACCAATTCTAGAAGAATATATGTGGGTTAAATATATGTGGTTAAATCTATTACAAATAGATTTGTATAACAATCCCTCTGTTGCATTTTTATTGTTAGTGAAAACTATATATTTGGAAAATTTGATGCATTCTGTAAACGTTTGGAGAAGATTTCAGACATGAGCAATATTATGGAAAACCTTTTGGAGCTCCAGCATATAAAAATAGAAGGTATTGAAGAGATCAGTACTCATTACCAGAGCATTGCTACAAACACCAAATCCAAACAGTACGATGTTCTGGATCACAGAAGAAAAGAGGTACATACATTCAGCACTTGTCTGACCATCACTCCCTTAATTCTATGCTTTTCACTGGAGTTGTGCAAAGAAGAGTAAATTTAGTAACAATGCGTGCCGTATTTTGCTTTAATAATAATACTTCCATATCTTTTCATACAATTTTAAAGTGTTTGGGTAAATTTGGCTTTTATTTCAGATGTTTTTGTTAATTTTCAATAAACTAGATTTTGTGTGATAGGTAATGCTACAAACAACTTTTCCTAAACTTGTTTGTTTTGAGATATGTACATTTTGAACTGCAGACTGAAAACCAATTCAGGCAGGGCAACGCATTAGATACAGTTTATCTAGTTGCAAGAGTTACTTAGTGTTACTGAAAATACTTAGTGAAATAGTAAAGGCAGTATTATAGTAATGGTAGCAAAGGCACTTAGATGAGCATTTTAGGAGAAGTGAATGATGTCACCCTGCTGAGTAGGGTGGTAAAAACTAAAGTGGATTTTTAAGTGCTTCAGACTCACATTTTAGTACATCCTGCACATACTGGAACTGAGCTGCTTTATCTGAGCTGTAGCCTGCTTTTTTTGCAGGATTGATAGTCTCACAATAGCAGTGCTAGAAATGTTGACTTACTCTTCTGCCTTCCTGAACTGTAGCTTGCAGCTGTCAGGAACTTACCTTTAAACATTTCAGTCTAGAGTGCCTTTGGCTTTCTTTTAACTGGCTGATGGCTTACAGTTCCGTAATACTTGCTGTGTGGTTCTGTTCTGAAAGAAAACATTTACTGGTAACTGGAATTTGAAGGTGTTTAAAAATTGTGTTGCTTTTCTACACCTAAATGGTTGAAGCAATATATATTCTGGACTATCTTCCCAAGCTTGTGGAGTGGTTTCTTCAAGAGGAAGTTTGCACCGAACTCTTTTTGTAGGTCCTCAGTCTTTTGGACTTTTAAGAAAAAATATTACAGCTAAATACCCAAATTATTACAGATAAACACCCTACTTCTAGTTAGGAGCTGCCAAATTTGGTAGCCCAATGGAGGTGGGGCTGTCACAGTTCCATGTCCCCAGGTCCACTGAGCATGTAATTCCCAATTGTAATGCATGCACACATATGCACAATACATTTGTGCACAGGTGTGGCTGCATAGCTCGACACAAACTGAACACACAGCCATCACTCAATTACAAACAGAATTAATTCCTGTACCTCTCTGGCTGAGCAGGAGGAAAGCCTGTTAGTAGAAAATATATAAACATGGATCCCTCCAGTAGCTGGTCTATTCAACAACTAGTCCCTGGATACCCAGGTCTCCCCAGTTCCTGGACTTAGAAACTCCACCAAGGCCCACAGCCCCACTCCAGCTGTGGGTACTCAGACCTCTACACACACACACACGCACAGACACGTGCACTATGGGTCCCTCCAGTGCCTGATCTTAGGTGGTCAGTCTACCCTCTACCTGACCCCTGGATCCCCTTGCTGTCCCGGTTGCTGGCACACACAGACATGCACATGTCAACGGTTCTTTCTTGCAGCAGTTTCAGGCTTATAACCTTATCAGTAGCTGACCTTCAGACCCTACCATCTCTTTGGTAGCTGACTTGGGCTTCCTGGCCCCTCTGGTAGCCAACTCTTAGACCGCTCTGGTCTCTTTAACATCTAGCCCAGACTTACGGTGCTCCAACACTTGGTTCCCAAGCCTCTGTCCTATTTGCTGCCTAGTCTGCTTTGGTATTTGCTAGCCATTATATGTGACACACCCACCCACACAGTATGCACGTGCTCCAGTGTTTCTAGTTGGTATGATCCATGATTCCTACCCTGGTTGCTGATGTTTAGACCTCAATACACTCCAGTCTCTCCAGTTGCTGACTCAAGTGCACAGGCCCCAGTGACTTATGGCTCCATAAAATCATAGATGGTTTGGGTTGGAAGGGACCTTTAAAGATTATGTAGTCCAGCCCCCCCTACTGTGGGCAGGGACATCTTCAAGTAGATCAGATTTCTCAAAGCTGCATCCAACCTGACCTTGAACACTTCCAGGGATAGGGTATCCACAATTCTCTGGGCAGCCTGTTCCAGTGTCTCATCATTCTCAGCGTAAAAAAAATAATCTTCCTTATGTCCAATCTAAATCAACCCTCTTTTGGGTAGATTTTAAACCATTACCCCTTGTCCTATCACTGCAGGCCTTGGCAAAAGTCTCTCTCCATCTTTCTTATAAGCTGCCTTTAAGCCCCTCACACTCCTGTTGCTGGTGTATAAACTCCTGTACACACTCATGCACTTAGAAGAGAGATCCCATTCACCCATGAAAATGGTTAGGAATGGAGGTAAGTAAGAAGACAAGACAGACTGTGCTGATCAGGTGCAGAGCACAGCCAGGCGAAGTATACTGAGCAGCAGCCTGTTCACATGTGACCAACTCCTTTTATCGCATCGTGCCTCCACTTTTCCACTCTCATTCCTCCCACGAACCACACTGATCCCTGCCTTTGCTTCTTCCCCTAACTTCCATAATACATTTTGTATAATCCCAAAATGCTCTTCCCTGGTAAACTCTAATGAGTCCCTTATCTCCTAGGCAATAACCTCCCTTAGTCCGTATGGTGCTTAGTTTGGTGCTCTAGAGAGCCTGACAGTTTGCTCATCTCGATGGGTTTCATACCTGGACAGTGAGCTGCCCCCTGTGGCAGTGCTGGGGGTAGCTGGTGAGTGTGCTCTGTTCTCTCTGAACAGGTTATTAGGTTGCATCTGCCTGTTCTTGTTCCTCTGTGCTCCTTTGTGTTCATGAAGATGAGGCTTTAATCATATAACCTATCACTTCTTATTTTTTGTTTGCTTTGCTTAGCATGTAAATGCCTTTGTTACTGGTGTCATCCCTTTTCTTTTTAATTCATTGCTGAACACATGTACTGACCAGATCAAGCAAATTCCTCAAAAACTTCAGGGAAAGAATTTTATATGAAATGAAAACAACTTTACAGATGATTTTTTTTTTCTTTTACCTTTTTCTAGTTTGAAAAAGATTACCTTGAATTTAAGAACCAAATTGCAGCATTGTACGAGTCCATACAAGAATATGTGGATTCCTGGTTTGAGAAGACTGTAACTGTAAGTAATGTTACAAATGCAGCCCCTTTGTTCTGGTGCTCAGAAAGGCTGTGGCTCCTGCTGAGCTCCTTCATTACTCCCAGAGTTCTGTACTGTGATGGTGGCTGCCTGAGATAATGTAGGAGGACATCAAGCCTATTACAAGTGTTCTAAAAGTTGCTTGCAGAAGTGCTGGAAGATAATCTTCGTAGTTATTTGGTACCAGTTTTATGTTCCATCTTTCCTTCCCAATTTTATAGGCCTATTTTTTTTTTTAAGTTTTTCTTTCTTCATCCTGGTGTTCCCCATGCTTCCTGTTGTATTTCTAAGTTATTCCTGTTGGACTGTGTCGTGGGTTAGGTTGAAAACTTCCTCCCACACACAGCCAGTCACTCCCCCCTCCCCCACCCCCAGGAATGAGGGAGAGAATTAAAGGATAAACGGGAAACCCGTGGGTTGAGATAAGAATGATTTTAATACAGATGATTTAATACACAGTATAGATGCTCACCACCCTCTCGTATGCGAAGCCCGTCTCGTCCCAAAGCTGCAATCCCGGACGAACACGAGACCCCGAAATAGAGAGGGGCAGAGAGAGAGAGAGAGAGAAAAGAAAGAAAAAAACAGCAGAGCAACAGCGCAGCAAACGCAAAAGAGCAAAAGTGCAAAAGAGCAAAAGCGCAAAAGCCCTTCTTCCCGGCTGACCCTCACTTTTATACTGGGCATGACGCTGCATGATGTGGAATACTAATTGGCCAGTTTGGCCCTCAGTCTTACGTTCCACACAAATCACAAGGGGAATCGTGTCCCCCTTGTCCCAGCTATGCTCCCCCCTTAACCCGCCGTGCTTCTGCACTCCGGCACACTGAAAAGTCCTTGGCAGCTTGTTATCAGCGTTCTTCTCAGAGTGAGCCTCTGAGTAAAACCAAAACACGGAGCTCTTCTAGCTGTTAAAAAAACACCTCTGTCCCAGCTAAAACTAGGACAGACTGGCAGAAGTAATGAAATAATTTCTGCCATCTGTTACCTTAATGTCAGTACTGTTCATTGGTTCAGGCCCTGATCATGATACAAGGTGTTAATGAAGCATGAGTTAAGGTATATGTGTTCTACCACAACTGTTCGTGGAAAAAGAGAGTGATGATTTGGGAGTCAGAAAAAAATTAAATATTGCAGTATACTGTAGTGATAGCAGTTTCTTGATTCATACTATGGTGAAATATTCTAAATGGGACAAAATACAGAACTAAAATTCACTAACTTGTCTGTATGGACTTTTCAGTATTTCTTAGAAAACAACTTGCAAACTCACATAACTTATATTGTAAATTAAAAAAAAAAAACAGTTTATGAACAATGACTTTCTGAACTATTAACATCTTCTGGAGTAAGTGTTCCATCCTGCTTTTTTTAGACTGAACAGATGCTGGGACTTCTGATGAAGCTTGAACAAATAGGAGAAAATCATATTGATCTTAATGAGAAGTATACCATTGTCCTTCAGCAGTACAGCCAAGACTTAGAGTTTGTTCAAAAACTCTACCAGAAGCAAAAAGAAAATCCACCTATACCACGTAACATACCACCAGTAAGAACGAAATAAATGAGAGAGAAAAAGGACTTTGCTGCTTGACTGTTTTTAAGTTAATGGAAATATAACCTCGTATCTACTGTGTTTTAGGTAACAGGGAAGATTATGTGGGCTCAGCAGTTATACAGAAAAATTGACCATCCAATGACGTTCCTTAAAAAGAAAACCACACTTTTGAAGGTTGGAAATCAGCAGACTCCTAAGTCTCCTAAGCTCACTTTTCTAACAACTTGTATTCAAGCTCATCTAACAGGATAGGTGTCAGTGTTTGCTCCAGGATTTGAATTATCTTTTTGCAGCATTATTATTCTGCAGCTCAGGACAGTTACTTCCCTTGAGACATTAAGCTGATGACTTAGGCCAGTGCTTTTGTCCCTCCTGGGGCTTGACTCATGTTAGTGCTGATAGTAGCACTGTTGGACGTTTACCTAAGCTTAGAGCCTTCCAAGCCTTTTGTCTGCTGATGAGGAAAACTGAAATATTTAACCTCAAACCCTAGCCATGCTTCATGAAAGAATATAATTTTATAGCTTTCTCAATGGGACATCAGTGCCTTGTATAGGTCATAGTATAGACTTGATTTTATGGGCAAGATGGGGAGGAAAAATCAGGAAAAGAGTTATGTTGTTTAGAGCGGTTAAATACTTCTTAATAATTGAATTTCTAAGTATATTTCTGTGTTTCTGTGTCTTACCTTCTCTCTAAAGTAGCATAACTTAAATATTTCTATTTGTTCTGTTTTCCTAATGGTGGTGAGGAAAAGCCTAGTGGATGGCATTTCTACTGTGTTAGACTCATTGAATTGTTTAAATGGTGTTTGCTTTCCCTCCTGCCCCTCC